TAAGACCCAGAAGAAGTATTAGGCAAGGGCAGAGTGCTTTTCTGGTGGCTCTCTCACTCAGGGTCTGTGCTTTGAATATATTTTTATTCATTAAAAGAACCTAATGAAGCTCACTATGTTTTGAGAATGTCTACTATGTAATATTTTATCACTAAATTAAAGTGAAGAATCCATGTTCTCACACAGTGTAGGATGGGATACGCTGAAGGAAAAGTCCAATTACCTCAACATACAAGTATTAGCCATAGTGGGCCTTTTGTGTTTTACTATACTGACTTGTCCCTGCCTTATTAAAAATTTCAGTTCTGGGGCACCTGGGTTGCTCGATCAGTTAAGCGTCTGCCTCGGCTCGGGTCATGATCCCAGGGTGCTGGGATCAAGCCCCGCCTTGGGCTCCCTGCTCAGCAGGAGCCTGCTTCTCTCTCCCGCTCTGCCCGCTGCTCCCCCTGCTTGTGCATATGCTCTCTCTGTCAAATAAATAAATTTTAAAAAATCTAAAAAAAATTTCAGTTCTAAAGGCCAAAAGATCAAAAAGGGATAAAATGTATTAATGCTAACTTAACCAACCAACAAATAGTTATTAAGCTTCCATGGACTTGGCAATGTGTTCATGGGGAATACGGAATCCTAGATCTAATACCGCTTGTTTTCTCTTGAGTTGACTTATGTGCCAACTATTTGCATGTATTTATCTCACTTGATTTTCACCTAATTGTGTAGCTATCATGAGCTGTTAGGTCATATTACTCCCATTGTACAGATGAGGAAACTGAGGCCAGAGAGATTAAGTGACTTGCTTGAAGTCACTCTGTTAGTAAGTGTTGGCTCTCTGACTCAGTCCAACCCAGGCTGGTCTGACTCCAAAGCTCATTCTCTTAACTACAGCTCTCCATGTCCTCCTCAACAGAGAGGCGCTTTCCTTGAGCTGAGGCCAAGCCAACAGCCAGAGAAGGCCTGTGGAATCTTCTCTGTGGTCCTCTGTTTGATCAGGGGGACTTCTCTAATTGGGGGAGCTAAGATTGGTGCATCTAAGATGACACAATATTGCCCTGGAGAATAAGATGATGGAAACAGAATTGTCTCAAGTCTTTCCCATACCCTTTTGACCCTTCTTTCAAAAAACAGAGGCACAGTCTTCCAGTTTTTCCTGGGGAATAACTTCATACTTCTTCAAGCCCAGCTCATTTTGGTCTCGATTTACATTTATGGATCCACACACCAGGTGCTGTAGGAATGAGCGGGACGGTGTCCTCTTTGTTCTTGAGGATACGGAAAACCTGGGGCTCCTGCTGTTTTTACCAGTGCAGGTAGTTACACACCTACTCTAACTCTGGGCCCTCTGCGAGCCAGTATTCTTCTAGTCCTGAGTATCATGCTGAAATATTGGGAAAGGTAGCGTTCCTTTCCCCAGTGGTAAGCAGAGTCTGCGTTCTCTGGCGTTCTTGTGTGGTGTAGCTTACATTCTCTAGCGTCTCATACCTGAGTTGATTTCTACTCCCTACACCCCAAACTTTTCCTGTCCAACGGATGCTCATTCTCTGAGGTCTTTCTGCACAAAGCAGTTCGTGTTCACCTCTGCCCATATTGATCTCCCTATCTTAGAGCAATCGGACAGACTTGGCTTTGAGTCCCGGCTGTAATGCTCATTGGCTGGGTTTTGTAAGGCAAGTCCACAGACTCTCTGAGCCTGTGTTTCCTTATAGAATGGGGGAAAATCCTAGTACTTACCTCAGAGACTTTGACTCAATCTGATCCCATGTGTAAGCACTTAAGCCAGAGCCAGGCATATAAGAAGTTGGTAAACAATGGGTATCAACCTCATCGTTGTTACCATCATTGTTGTCATTGACATGAAATAGAAATTTGGTCATCTTCTTCTCTGGCTTATGTATCTTCACTGGCTCCCAGCTGCCTGCCTAATCAAATCCCAGCTTCTTAGGATTCACTCTCTGGCTCTTACCTACTTTTGCGGTCTTTTCTACTATATGCTTTCTTTGCTCTTCCCTTAATTCTATTTTTTCCTTTGAATATTTTCTTTTTTAAAAAAGATTTTATTTATTTGACAGACAGAGATCACAAGTAGGCAGAGATGCAGGCAGAGCGAGATGGGGAAGCAGGCTCCCCACTGAGCAGAGAGACTGATGTGGGCCTCGATCCCAGGACCCTGGGATCATGACCTGAGCTGAAGGCAGAGGCTTTAACCCACTGAGCCTCCCAGGCGCCCCTTGATTTCTCAATGTTTATCGTGTATCTGTTCCCTTTAGGCTTTGTACTTCTGTATTTTGTGATTATTTGAATTTTGTCAATTTTACTTTTTTAAAAGATTTTATTTATTTATTTGACAGAGATCACAAGTAGGTGGAGAGGCAGGCGGGGGGGGGAGCAGGCTCCCTGCTGAGCAGGGAGCCCGACACAGGGCTCCATCCCAGGACCCTGGGACCACAACCTGAGCCGAAGGCAGAGGCTTTAACCCACTGAGCCACCCAGGAGCCTCTCCTCTGAATATTTTCAAAAGTATTCTCAGTTTATTTTTTTATTGTTAAGTCATCTCTACACCCAACGTGGTCCTTGAACCCATGACCCTGAGATCAACAGTCATGTGCTCTTCGGACAGAGCCAGCCAGACACATCCCAGTGCTCCCTTCGGTCTTTGATCATACACCCTTAATGTCCCAGTCCTTCTGGTGGGGTTCTCACTGTTCCTTACAACTGTTGAGGTTTAATTGTTCCAGGCCTTTATGGGTACTTCTCACTCTGTCTGGGATACGTGTCTCTCATCCTCAGATGCCTCTGAGTCCAATTTGGACTGTGTTGTCCTCTCCAAATTCTCACCATTCATTCAAGCATGTATCGAATACTTACTGTGTGTCAGGCACCAGCCCTGGAAGACAGGGCTTTAGCAGTGAACAAAACTTCGTATAAAGGGAGAGAGATTTCCATCCTTGGGAGCTTACGTTGCTATGCCGTTCATCCAAACAGTTCTGTATAATGATTGTTAGGTGCCTATAGTGTGCCCAGCCCTGGGCTAAGCAAGGGGGTTACAGCACCGAGTAAACCTCACAGCTATAGTCTGGAGAAGGAAGGCCTCTAAACAGATAGTTACCAACAGAGTAGATTTATGTCACTCTTCTGAGAAGGAGCTTTGAAGGGTGTGGGGGGCTGTGATGGTATATTGGATGGGAAGTTACTCTGAGCTTGGAAACTGGCAAAGAAAAAGGAAGCAAACCCTGCCTAAAGCTTTCTGTGATTAACATGTTTCCCTAGATGATGGAATTGTCTTCAGGGGCCCCATTAGATTGTAGGATCTGGAAAAGAAAGCTCCTATTAGAGTTTTCTTTGAGTCATTGAACCTTAATATCGTCTGAGAATTGTTTTTAGAACATGAACCTCAATGAAATCCTATGTCAAACAACAGAACTGTATCACCCTACATATGAAGGTCTCTTCTTTGGTCCATGCTCTGCTCTGTCTAGTCCATGGGTTTAAGTGTACATAGGGTTCACGCTGGTGAGTTATGATCTGACTTACCTAACACCGTGTTATAAAGACTGCTCCATGCTCCTGTATAGTCTTTAAATTTGTCATTTTTGATGACTGTCTTGTTTCATTGAGGACTTAGTCCATCATTTAGCTAAGTCACCTATTGGGGGGCATTTGGTTTGTTTGTAATTTTTTTTTTAAAGATTTTATTTATTTATTTGTCAGAGAGAGAGAGGGAGAGAGAGCAAGCACAGGCAGATAGAATGGCAGGCAGAGGCAGAGGGAGAAGCAGGCTCCCCGATGAGCAAGGAGCCCAATGTGGGACTCGATCCCAGGACGCTGGGATCATGACCTGAGCCGAAGGCAGCTGCCCAACCAACTGAGCCACCCAGGCGTCCCTGTAATTTTTTAATATTATAAATCAGAGTATTATGAACACCATTTTTGCATGTAATTTTTTTCTTCTATGGGGTGATTTCTTTTTTTAAAGATTTTATTTATTTATTTGAGAGAAAGAGAGAGCACAGGCTGGGGGAGGGTGTACAGAGGGAGATGGAGAAGAAGGCTTCCCACTGAGCAGGAAGCCCAACGCAGGATTCTATCCCAGGACTGAGACCATGACCTGAGCCGAAGGTAGATGCTTAACCCACTGAGCCACCCAGGCGCCATATGGGGTCATTTCTTTTCTTTCTTTTTTTTCTTTTTTCTTTTCTTTTCTTTTTTTTTTTTTGAGATTGGTTTTATTTATTTATTTATTTTTAAATTTTTATTTTTTAAAAATTTCTTTTCAGTGTTCCAGAATTCATTGTTTATGCACCACACCCAGTGCTCCATGCAGTACGTGCCCTCCATAATACCCACCACCAGGCTCACCCGACCTCCCACCCTCCTCCCCTCCAAAACCCTCAGATTGTTTCTCAGAGTCCACAGTCTCTCATGGTTCATCTCCCCCTCCGATTTCCCCCAACGCCCTTCTCCTCTCCATCTCCCTGGGGTCATTTCTTTAAGATAAATCCCCAGAAGTGGGATATTTCTGAAATTTAATAAGACAAAACTTTGATTTATAAAACTTATTTATGTACTGAGTATGTAGGAAAGTAAATAGATTATTGCCATTTTTGTTACATCAAGTGATAACCGTTATTTACATTTTCTAAATTGACGCGAGTTATACGAAGCTTATTATATTAGAAACTAGCCTTGGACCTCTTTGTATCCTTTTTGAAATAGAGAACTTAAGCTACTCTTTTTTTTTTTTTTTTTTTTGCTTTGACTCTAGACCTGCAGCGTTCAATCAAATGGATTCTCACACCCTGTTGCAGGTGGCTGCCTCCAGTCCCGCTGCTCATACTCTTGGCTCAGCAAGGGAGCCTGGTGATTTTTTATTTGATAATGTATGAGTCTTGAGATTTAGAGAATCAGTAGTTCACCTCCAAACTGACATGCTTTGCATTTTTGAGAAAACTGCTTTGATTTGCTAGAGTGTCTGGTAAACAAGGATCTTTTTCATTTTGTTTCAGGGACAATTGGATTTTTTTCTTGTTTCTGGTTTGTTACTAAAATCTACAGTGTGGTGAAAGTGGATTAAAGAATGTCCCTCAACATCCTTCAGGTTCATCAGCGTCGCTTTTGAATATATCCATCTGTACCTGTATGAACATCTATAGAGATGTACATGCATGCTTCCTACTACGCATTTTAAATATATATCACTTAAAAATCTCATTGTCTGGCCTCATTTTATATGACACAAAATACTGATTATGTGGAAAAAACAGGTTGGTTTGGAAACAGGTTTATTCTAAGTCAGACTGTCCTGAAAAGATACCATAAAAAGGTTTAATTGAAAGCAATCAGAGCAAAGAGAGGCACATTTCTTTACAAAATGAAAGCTGAGCACATAGGCTTTTCAGATGAAAAATTTTTTTTCCTTTTCTTCATTTCGTTTATAGGATCAGAACTATTGTCAAATAAATCTTAGGTAAAATGTGAATTTTTCTAACTTAAGTGGATTGTACAGGCTATTCGAACCTTGTATTTGGATAACAGTTTTATTTTATATATGTATTTATTTCTGTGAGGCTTATTTATTTTAGAGAAAGAGAGAGAGCAGGGAAGCGGGAAAGGGAGAGGGAGAGGGAATCTTAAGCAGACTCCCCACTGGGCATGGAGCATGACGTGGGGCTTGATCCCAGGACCCTGAGCTGAAACCAAGAGTCCATGCTTAAATGAAACCAAGATTCCATGCCCCTATTTTGTTTACTTTTTAAAGGAAGCTCTAGGTCCAACATGGGGTTTGAACTCACAACTCTGAGATCAAGAGTCACTTGCTCTCCTGACTGAGCCAACCAGGTGCCCCTGGATGACCATTTTATCAAAGCACATCTGTTTTTTATTTTGTTTTGTTTTGTTTTTGTTTCTTAAGCTTTTATTTATTTGAGAGAGCAAGAGAGCATGAATGGGGGTGGGAGGGAGAGGGAGAAGCAGACTCCCCGCTGAACAAGGAGCCTGAGGCTGTGCTCCATCCCAGGACCCTGGGATCACGACCTGAGCTGAAAGCAGATGCTTAACCAGTTGAGCCACGCAGGCGCTCCCTGAACATTGGTTTAATATATCGAGTTTATGAAATACCAGGTACTGCTCTCTTATTCCTAAATTAAATCTGCACATTGCTGGTTATTGGTTGTCTTTTTCTGTTTGCTGTCATTTGGAGGTTGACAAGGTTCAAGTTTGACTTAACTGTGTGTAGATAAAAAATATTTGGAGCCAATTTTCTGGGATTTATTTGCTTTGACTAGAATAGTCAGGTATCTTAACTCCCCAAATGCGAGGAATTCATATGACAAAATATTCTCTGAGTTCTCAATTTTGGGAAAGCAATCATGAAAATCGTGTATTTTCTGCAATACATTGTGTTGATAAGTATTGGCCTTGTGGAGGAAAATGTTTAAAAACTATATATGCACAAGCTTCAATTCATGAACATGCTTAAAGCCTTCCTTAAGCTGAGGAGCACTTGTCTGTGTGTGTGTGGCTCAAAGAAGCCATGTTATTCCTGAAGGGGAGATTGGGATGGGGAGGGATGGGGTTTAGAGAGTTGCATTTTGAAGGAGGGGGGAGGTGATAGAAGTTGACTAGTTGCCTCAAGGAGGAAGGTAATTCCCCAGCCAGTAGGATGCCTTTGTCTATATTGAAAGTTGAAGGCTCAGACCCCAGGCAAATAGGCCTGGGGGCCTGGAGCTGACTGGTGAGAGAGGGAGTGGTTATAGGAGGTCAAAGGTGTCTCTTGACTAGAATTTTCATATCCTCTCCACCTTCTCCCACTCAGTGTCAGAATCAGGCCGACCCCTAGGCCCTGCCTGAGGGGAGTAACTGCTGTTCTGAACCAATTCCATTCTCCCCTGAATGCTTTGAACTAAGCAGTGTTATAGTGAGCTTCGGGGACTCTTCCCATTGGGTTGGCTGCCGGGGGATTTTATCCAAGCTCACAAGCCCTCCTACTTGCATTGATGGTAGTAGTTTGCTTGAAAGGCAACTTTGTTAAAAGAATGAGCTCTTGGAGCACCTGGGTGGCTCAGTGGGTTAAGCCTCTGTCTTGGGCTCAGGTCATGATCTCAGGGTCCTGGGATGGAGCCCGCATAGGGCTCTCTGCTCAGGCTCTCTGCTCAGCAGGGAGTCTGCTTCCTCCCACCCTCTCTACCTCCCTCTCTGCCTCCTTGTGCTCTCTCTCTGTCAAATAAATAAATAAAATCTTAAAAAAAAAGAATGAACTCTTGCCATTTGTGACACATGGCTGGACCTTGAGGGTTTTATGCTAAGTGAACTAGACAGAGAAAGACACGTATCATATGATTTCACTCATGTAGAATTTAAAAAAACCAAAAGGAACAAATGGAAACGGATTCATAGGTACAGAAGACAGACCAGTTGGGAGGGGGTGGGGGTGGATGGGCGAAATAGGTGAAGGGGATTAAGAAGTACAAAGTGCCAGTGATAAAATAAGTAAGTGATGGAGAGGAAAGTGCAGCATAGAGAATGCGGTCATATTGTAATAATGTTGTATGGTGACCGGTGGTGACCGTACCCATCGCGGTGAGCAGTGAGTTAACCTACAGAATTGTTGAATCGCTGTGTCGTCCACCTGAAACTCATATATCGTTGTAGGTGATCTATACTTCAATAATAAGTATTAAAAAGAAATAGAAGGGCAAATTTATTTCTGCAGCTGCATGCAGGTCTCATGGCAGCCATCTTTGAACATCTTGAAATACAATGTGTAAGTCAGAATTTAGCTTGATTTTGGAGTGAAAACTGGGGAAGAGCCCTTGACTTTGATTGAAACGGAGATGAACAGCTCCCCGAACCTCTGAGTGTGGGCCGTAAATGCCACTCGGGAAGCACAAGGTGTACAGTTCCTTGAACTGCTGGTGATGAGAGGACAGGGGAGCTACGAGTAGGTCAAGCATGTCAGCCACAGAGGAACTGGTGGGCTTTTAAGTTTTAGACATATTGGACTATCTTGTCTGTGTCCTGTGTGTACATATGTCACAGTAGGTGTTCAAGGTATAACTTTTTCATTCCGGGCCTCGAGGGAACGTGCATCCGCCCCACTGTTCCATAAACCCTGGTGAGTTGGGGCTGAGGTGAGGTGGCTGGGACGGGATTGTGCCAAGGGAGGTGTCCTGGTCCTCAGTAGTGGGACAGCAAGGGCAGGAGCCCAGTGGGGGGTGACCTGGGTGCTGGGCAGTATTGTTTCCTAAAAATGAAGGCTATTCCTTACCCTCTCCCCTGGTCAAACCTCCCTGCCTTGGGAATGAAGGCTGGCATTTGGGAACCCCACAAACCACCTGGCCCTTTTTCTGCTCTGCCCACCCTACTGTCGCTTTGAAATCCCTTTTATTCATAGACGACTGAGGCCCAAGCCCCTATTCCAGCAAGCCCATCAGGATGGCTCCCCCAACCTGTTGCATGTTTCTTGTATTGGGCCAGCACAATGTGAAATCTGGGGCCAATATGTCCCATCCTACCATGTAATACAGTTAGCTTATCCTGTCTCTTCTCTTCCAGCAAGAAGGAAGGCATGGAGACCTCATGGTGTGTCCTTCTTGCTGTTTTCCCACCAATCTCAGCATAATAACCAGATACGCACATTAAAATTAGACTTTATTTAGCATATTTAAGAAGAATACCAAAGACAGATTAACAGCACCTATTTAAGAAACACAAACACTACTTAATAATATTTAATTAAGCCACAGACATCAATCTCTCTGCCTTCCCCAAGCAGGAGTCCATTATTCCTTTTCAGCAAAAAATGCGTTGTAACCATTTTAGAAAGGATCCAATTAATGCCAACCAATATGTGAAACCTTGTCCTTGGGCAGAATGTCTGAGACTACTGGCCCCTTATAACAGTATTGGTTTATGAATTTGATTGGGGTGTGAAGGGGTTTCTCTTCTTCCTGGGGCAGGAGGATAAAGCCCACCCCTCTTGTGCACCAGAAGGTAAGATGTGCCAATGGGAACTTGGCCTCAGGATCATAATGTGGCAGTCCTTTGAAAAGGCACTTTTAAATTACAAATGTTTTTTTTCAAAGGAAAAGGAAAATCTTAAATTCACAATTGAATATATTAAAGAGAACTGTTCTCGATGAATGCATCTTTCTATGGTTTTCAGTCTCAAAGCAGCACATAAAATTTGGTTTAGGCAGGTTTAGAAATTACTCAATGAGGATATACATATATACATGGTCTTCTGTTTTCATATTTTTATTCTTAAAATATAATAAACTCATACTTCTCTCTTTTTTGTCTGATGCATATGCTGTTGATACGCGATTGTAATATTCTCAAACACCTTAGCTGCGACCCCCCCGGAGGAGTCCCACTCCTTGATTTACCCATCCGATTCTAGCTCATCTCTCAGGTAGCTGATCAAAGGAAAAATCTAGAATAGCATTTTTCTGCGTTTGGGTGGTGTTCTAAGAGGGGAGGGATGGGCACAATATAGATCTGCTAAATGCATGTCCTGTCAGCTACTGGTTGGGTCTTGAGAGTATGGTATTTTTTTTTTAAGTCCTGCCAACAGGACTCCAATAGCCTCTCCTGGGGTCTGCGCTCTTTGTACATTCGCCTAATGGACAACAGGTAAACCAGTGCCAAGCATGTGGTGGAGAACTGCCAGCGAGGGCTTCAGCCAAGATGATTAATTCACACTAATGATCAGTTGTCCCAGAATAAGTTCTTCCCTGTCAGAGATCACCAGGGATTTACGGAATGAAAGGCACCTGTACCTGCCGCCCCCACCTTGGAGCCATCTTTTACAGCCTGTAGGATACACTTTAAAAATGAAATTTGAAAAGCGAATGTACTATGTTCTACTTCAGAAGCTGACCAAGGTGTGGGTCACACGTAAAATTCGGCATGCATTTTATTAACTACATGTACGAACTACCCATTGTTGAGGATGACACTATCTATAAACACATACACTCTAATATCTAGCACCGTATCTCCAAGAACACTGGTGTTTTATATACAGGTACAGCTTACATTTAGAACTACCACAGAAAGGAATACACCACTGAA